AGAGAGAGAGAGAGAGAGAGAGAAAATACGCAGTACCTCGAGAAGTAGAGAGAGATAGGGGGGAAATACTCGACACATTCTCGAGTCAGGAGAAAGGAAGAGAGCGCAACAGAAAAAAAAATAAAAATAAAGAAAAGCGGCAAAACCTGGCCTCGAAGAACTTCAACGAGCGACGCCCAGACTCGGTCCCGTTCGTTTCCCTCCTCGAGGTGGCTGGAAATGGGTCAAACAAGGTCAGGTTCTGGGCTATCTGGATCACTCAGAGGACTCAGAGGCCACGAGGCGGGATGTGCAACGGGGGAAAGGAGCCCGGGCCAGGCAAGGGGTTGCTGCTGCTGCAAGGGTGGCGGTGGGGCGATGCGTGGTAGCTGCTGGTGGCGGCAAGGAAGGCACCCGCCCACGGAGTCTGCACCCTCCGGGCATGCGTCAACCCTAACCCCGCTCACCCCGCGGGTTCCTGTCGAATCTGGGTGGAGGTCACCAGCGGCCACCACGCAGGATCAAAGGCCTCGAGAATTTCTCGTGTCAGGACACGATCGTGTGCGAAGGCGAAGCAAGTTTCTGCGCAGAATCCACCCACTTTCGAAATTAGCGACCTCAATTTCATTTTATTTTTGTCGGGGGTGGGGGGAGGAAGGTTGGAATTATTGCTTTCTGACGAGGAAACTTTAAATTCCTACCTTCAATGTTGGTTGAAGCAGGAAGAACCGTCATTTGTTGCAAGAAAGAAGATTAAGGAAAATAATTTGACTCATTATTGTGCTCATTCCTGGCAGAAGAAGAGAGATTCAAAAAAAAGTTCCCATGTCAATGACAATGAAATCTTATTTACTTGAATTGATTAATTACAGTATAATAGTAAGCTTGAAATGAAAGATATCAATTGTTCCTCGAAAATTTTACTCTAATTTATTCTTATTCATGAACGAATTATAGCCCAAATTGTAGAATCTTCAGTCATGTACAGTACTTCCGAAAAATCATCTTTTGAAAATATTTTTTCCTCTCGAACGCACATTTATTTGAACAAAATCAAACTTAAACATAGCAAATAATGCCATCGAATACTCCGAAATACATTTTACAGAAATTCAAGAATAAACGGCATACTTCACCCTGTGGAGAAAGTCAGATACCTGTACAGTATTGTGCACCCCTCCTCCGTTATGACTTATGAGTATCCAGTGCGATTCGTACGACACCTGTCGGCCAGAAACCCGAACAAAAAACGCTGAGCTTCCGACCAACGAAGAAGAGGCGACGGGAATACATCATGGACAGTTGAACCATACTTCAATTGTTAATAATTTTGGTCTTCCCTGAATATTTCGAACATTCCTTTGTTCCGGATTAAGTAAAATCTTAATATATTATAGTATTTGGGCGTAAGTTAGGAAGTCGACACATCCATTCGACGAGAAAAGTTTCATTAGACGATTCATCAATCGAAGTTAACTCATAATCTGAACCATAACGAGGTAACTATTTGTTAAACATTTCTAACATCAGCCGGTACAGCATTTTTCTAAGCTACTCGTAGAAAATTTTCCAGAAGGATACTATCTCGGAAAATAAAGCTTAATTGAAATACGACGGCAATTGGTGTTTCTGAAAAACAAACGCTGATGAAAATCATATTGCACCGGCAAGAAGAACTCAGCTCATGTCATCTATACAACAACTTCACCTGCGAAGTAACGACGAATGGCTTTATTATGGGTAGATGTCACCAGCAGTTACACACCACATGCGCCATTCTTCAAAATTTTTCGGTCTCCACGTTTTCCGCGTCCCACAGAAAATGTTTACAATTGCTTCAGAATAAGTGACACATTGGAGGCCATAAAAATAAAGAACGAAACATTTTACGCTTAACACAAGTAAAGGGACAGGATAATTTTGACAGGAGATATCAGTCGAGATATCCAGCGTAGAACACGAATTCAACAATTTCAGTGCACGTGTTCCATTGCTTCCACGCACCATATGCCAATACAGTACAGTACTAACTTTTCTCAGAAGGCTCGACTCCAAGACGACAGTTCCACAGATTCTTTCTACGCAAACTGATGCGAAGAAGAAAGTACTGCGGAAAAACAATGGACGAAAATAATGCACATAACACTAACTCAGAATTCAGGCGA